TTTTTTTTCTCAAGTTACCATATTCTTCTCTTACTCTTTCTTATTTAATTCATATAATAATTATTATTATAAATATGTATCCTTTTTATTATTAAATCTTTATATTTTTTTTTATTTTTATGTTATTTTTGTATGTTAAAATAATCATATTTTAATGATCTTCAATTTGATATCCATATTGCATATATAAAATAAAAAATAAATACATCTATCAATAAAAAATCAAACTCTATTTATTAAAAAATAATTTCAACAATATGAATACAACATAAATTATTTTACAACAAGAATAATAAAAACCTAATTCAGTATTACACCATAAAATAATCATTTTAATGCATTTTATCATAGATTTTAAATTAAATAAGAAAATTAAGTGTAAAAATACGGACCCCATCTATAATTAATTATTACTTTGTTAGTTATTCATAATTGTTATATATTCATTATACATAATTTTACAATAATAATATAAATTATTTTAGTTTTTCTATTGTACAAATATATTTATGTACCCGTGTAATACAAATGTATCGTACTAGTTGATGTATGAAAATTAGATAGATCTTTGAATAAATAATTTTTAATAAAATTAAAATTATATAATTTAATTATAGAAAATTAGTTGATAAATTTGAACACCATAAATTTGAATTACATAAAATGTAAATTATTAATAGTTATGTACATCATACAAGTTGTGTAATAATTTTAAATACACATATTTTATATAATTTTGCACAAATTTAAATTTCATATAAAATTTTAAATAAATTAATATAGGGGTAGTATTACATATTGATTTCATATATTTAGTGAAATTATTTAATTTTTTAATATTAATGAATATCTATTACTCGTGCATCACACTAGATTCATAATAGTTTGTTATAATGAGTTACAAAACTGATACCTACATTGGAATAAGACATTACCAGAGTTTTAGTAACTCAGTACGTATATATTGTCATTTAATACAGACTTATATGAATGAAAATGAATATATACTGTAAATATTTATTTACAAAAATGATACCTATAATGTAGTAGGACAATACCAATATTGTTGTAACTTAGTACCTATATATTGTGTGAAAAGAAAGAAAAAGAAAAATAATAAAAAATTAAGAAAAAAAGTAGTAGGAAAGATGAATAGTAGAAGATGATTAAAAAATAATAAAAAATGTGTGGAAAAAGAGAGAAAGAAAAAATAATAAAAAAATAAGAAAGTTAGTAGTAGAGAGAGAGAAAAATAATAAAATAATAAGATGAGATCAATGGTAGTGTGGATGATGTCACTTTGAATTTATTTTTGATTTATTTAAATAATAGGGAGTTAAGAGGAAGATGATTTTAGGGGTAGGGAGTTCAAAGGAAAAAAAAAATAACCTAGGGACTGAGGAGGAAGTTGAAAAGTGAGTTAGAGATTTTTGAGGAAGTTGCCCATGAGTCTACTCCTTAAAATGAGTTCACTCCTTAAAATGAGTCAACTCCTTAAAATATATATTAATTAAATAATAAAATAATTATTAGTTGACTCCGACGTTGACCGTTGACTTTTGGCATTGACTGTTGACTTCCGACGAAAAATTGTTGACTTTCTTCCGGCGTTGACCCGTTGACCCCTATTATGCATTATATGTATGAAGTAAATATGCATTCAGTGTCATACATTCAATATGAACTAAATATGCATGGGATATGAATTGCACATGCAGTCCTTATGAACTAAATATGCACCAATAATATCAACTAAGTATGCACCTGTTATGAACTAAATATGCATCTGTTATGAACTTAATATGCATCATGAATGAACTAAATATGCAGCGAAAAATATGCAATAAAATGTGCATATTATATAGGTAATTTATTATGCATATTTAGTTAATTTATTATGAATATTTAGGTAATTTATGATGCATATTTAGTTAATACGAAATGCATACTTGTTATATTTAAATTAAATATATAATAATATTTATATAATGCATATTTACTTAATTCATGAGCGAGTGGATCT